CGCCCCCCGGGCCCCCGGGACCTCGCCCCCAGCAGTGCAGCCGGCGCCTGCGGCACCAACAGTTCAGACAAACCCATGGGGTCACTTCTATTGCGTGGGTTGGAGGGGCTGTGCTGCAGGTTTTAATTACAGAATATTTACAGGAAAACGAATTTCCTGACAGCCTGTGTTTCTAAATACAAACTAACAAGAAAAGTTCATTTGTTTGCATTTTTCGAGCCAGAGCCTTAGATTTATTGCTAATATGCTCGGCATGACTTTTAGAGCAAATTTGTTCAGATCTCTTGTAAGGATGGTTAAGCCGAAGCTGTTAAGTCTTAAAATTTCCTAATTTGCTCCTTCAAAACCTGGCCAAGCGCTAATTTTGCTCAAACCTCTCTTAAGTCTTTACATTAAAAAATGAACTTGAAACAGAAGTGAAAATTCAGCGGGCTGAAGGTCATTAACTGATCCCGATCCCAGGAGAACCAAAGCCCCCAGTGCTCCACGTGCATTCCCTTGCCACCTTTTGGCTTTTAAACAGATTTACAGAACTGTAAATTCATTAGCCCAGAAACAGTTAGCAAACTTATTTTTCCTGAAACAAACCCTTCCCAGCCCAGCCACGCTCTGTAGGAAGAGAACGACGTGAAGGAACACCTCCATTAGCGCAAGGGTGGAGAAGGAAACGTGGGGCTGCCAACGGCCTCTGCCTTTCCTCCTCCTCCTCCTCCTCCGGGAGGGACAGCAGAAACCCAAAGCACCCAACACCCGTCCTTCAGCGATCCCTCAGCATCGGGGGGGGGGGGCCCATCGAAACGCTGCTTGCTCACTCCAAAACATCAGGGTTGAACGTGGTGGTGGTACAGCCAAAGGCAAGCCTGGACATTTGGGAGGAGGAGGTGACCCATTTTCAACCCTTACCCCTTCAAACAACAAATTCCCCATCAATTTTCTGGTTGCATTGGCAGGGACGCTTGTTATTCTCCCCAAGACTTCAAAGAGAGAAGCAAGCAAGCTACGGCTTTCCCTCTAGCCCCCCTTGTGAGGCTCCCAACCCCGCATTAAATGATGGAAACACAACAGATAGGAAAAGCAAGACAGAGCTTTAGAACCAGCAAACCCCCTAAAACGTCCCAGCATTAACACAGCGCACTTGCTGCTGCGTGGGAGCGGGCTAAAGAACCCGTTAAAGGGAAAACTCCTTTTTAACTGAATATTTTCTGGGTTTAAAATTACTGAAAGTTCCTCAGGGCAGCAAGTTGAACATTTTAAATCTTTTTCTCCTCTCCTCTCTATTTGTCTACAATCATGAAAAAATAAAATACAGCAGCATCTGGTACCAATTTTACTCCCAGACACACCTCCACCAAAGCGAGCTGTGCTTTTGCAGTGACACCGAAAGGCAGGGGAAGGGGGAAGGGGAAGCCTTAACTTTGTTGATCCAACAGTAAAATCCAGGATACTTACTGCAGGTCCTGGAAAACAAAAGAAAAACAGAGAAAAAAAAGTCACTTAATTACAAAGAAAAAGCATAATCTGATAAAACAGCACACAGCAGGAACCAAAATCAGAACGATGTGGTGCTTTTCCAGCTCAGTTCCACCGTGATGACTTCCCAGATGCACTTAACGCCATCGCATCCTCCTGTTCCGGGACCCCCCACCCGAGCTGCCGGCAGGGCAGCGCTTTCAGCTGCAAGCCCACCCCATCCCTCCTCCTCCCCAGCGCCACTCCGCTCCCTCCCCCCGCCAAGACCCCGGGAACGCCACAAGGCATCACCCACCATCAGGGCCTGGGGCACCATGGGCAACCGCAGAGCGGCGCCGGCGAGCGGCAGACACACACAGCCGGGATTTTGGGAGCAAAAAGTGCGTTTCAGCTTATTTCTCTTCACGCCCTGCAAGGAGCTGGAGATAGACTTGCAAAAGCCAGGTGAGCTGTGCAGGGCCAGGGGCACCTAGCGAGGGTATCGCTGCAGCTGCCACACATCCCAAACGTCCCAAATTTGGGCCCCGTCCCTCCCTGACCTCAAAACACATCTCACGACCCCGCGGTCCCGTGCCACCTCCGCGCAGCCCCAGCTCGAGGGCTCTGCTGCGCTCGGAGGCAGCCGGTGGGTGGACACACGGTGCCTTAGACCCAGGGGAAAGACCCCACGCGTCCACGATAGGTGGTGGTGGGGGAATCCTCCTATATTGCCCTGGGGCACAGGGGTCCGAGCTGCCTCCCGCTGCGACTTCTGCGGCTTTCCCACCGCTGGCCCAGGCCCCTGCTACGCGGAGCTGAACACTCGGCCCCGAAGGGAACGCATCCACATCTCCCTCCCATCCGCAGGGCAGCCTATAGCTCTGCCCGGGGCTGCTTCATGCTCCATTCGCTGCCCGATCAAACCCAGAAACTAATCACAACTAAAAACAGAAAAAAATGTGGGAAAAATTAAAATGGAGGGGGAAAAAAAAAAAAAAAAAAGAGCTTTGATAATCTTATATTATTCAACGATACAAAACAAGAAGCATATTTCAGGCGAATACATTTTCAGGGTTTTGAGAATGTGTTTAAAAATTAAAATGTTGAAAAGTTGAGTAACAAAACCCAAGGAGAGCCTAAGAACAAGGACCGAAAGCACGTGAGGGCTCGGCAGAATGTGGTTGGCCCTGCAGCCAGGCACCCGGCCCACCTGGCAGGGAGGGGGCAACCCCCAAATCTCCCGCCGGGCCCTGAAGCCCATTTTCTTTAGCACTACAATGTACACAGGCTCTCAAGTCGCTTTCCTTGGTTTAATTTCTTATGAATACAGAAGTCAACGGCTCTAAGCCAATTTATTAACCGAGAATCATAAACCTGATTTAGTCACTCATGCCAAGCTACCCACAAAAGCCCTCTTGTAGAAAGCCAGACCTAAATCTTGAATAAGAAGTGGTCAGGAAATCATTTTAATATGGGATTTCAATCAAGTACCAATTATAATCTCCTTGGAATTTGTTGCCTTTTTCCTTGTCTCAGCTACTGTTTTCTCCTGACACCTGTAGGTGAGTGCACTTTGAAAACCCTTTCCTCGAACCCAGGGACCGGAGCAGGACAGGGTCTGCACCCGCAGCGTGGGATGCCCTCCCCCCGCGGCACCACGCCGACCTCCAGCCGCGCTGCCGGCCCAACGGGGCCAGACAAATCTTCGTTAAGGCGGGGAGTTAAACCCATCGCGCTCAGCGTGGAGAGAAATGATGTTTCCCTGCATAGAAACTGCTTTGCTTTCGTGCCTTAAAGGGAGCTTTAGCCTCTT